TATTATTTACTACGGACAAAGATAATTTTTAATATGTTTTCCAATCAAAATACGTTCATAAATATCGGAAAATGTCATAACATTGCTTTTTATGTCTAACATTTGTGTCGAAATGGTTAAACTTTAGGGGGAGTCCGCCCCATGCAGGAGTCCGCTCCATGCATGACACCAGGTTAAGTTTAATTTTGTACAATAAACCCATGCACAATAAACCCTCCAAACAATAAACCCGTGTACAGTGTTCAGTACAACACAAACTGCATTTAACTGTCGTTGTATAATGGAGAATGGAGTTTAAGCATTGTCATACTTGAGAAGATTTTATTTTACTTATTATTAATATATTCCTTCACTTCAATGATTTCAAACTAAATCTATCTTTAATACCGGGTCTTGCAACTTGATAGCAAGGAGACATCATTGATTTATTACAATCAAGGGCGTTCACAGGAAGGGGAACAAGGCCCCCCCCCGCTTGAGATTTTGAGGCAAAAATGTTCCCAATTTGATCAATCGTATGTGCCCCTTTTTCAAGGTATATTAAGGAATTATGATATTAAATACGAATACAAAGAACTTGGTATATCAAATCTTAGATAAGAAGATACGTACTCAAAATTAGGAACAAAAACAGGTAAGTCAGGCAATTTAGGATTTTAGGAACAAAAAAGGAAGACTAGATTAGGAACATCAGATGAAGAACATTGGCTATTAAGCCAGCTAGGAACAAGAAAAGAATCTGGGAGTTTTATACATGCACGAAGGACATAAGAACAAGAACATATGAAATACATAATCTAAGGAACAATTAAAAGATTGTTAAGAAATTAGAAACATAATTAAAGGATAGGAATTTAGGGTCTAGAGGCACAGTGTTAGGAATTGGGACAAAAAGTTACAAGTTAGGACCAAAAATGAGAAAATTATGAATTAGGAACAAAAAATAAAGAACTAGGAACGTGATTCGTAAAACATGAAATAACGATCAAAACATGAAGGTACATCCTACAGGTTCATTAAGTTAGAAACAAAATATGCAAACGTCATTCATGCTGTACATAAATTTAGAGCAATTGTCAAAAATAGGAACATAAAGCAAGTTAAAAACAAAAGAAAATTACTAGGAAAGTTGTATACATGTAAATAAGGAACAATATTACAATATTGATTAAGGAGTAAGGTCGGAACATTTCTGCATATGCAAGTTAGATAGGAAAAATATTATAATATAAGTCTTCCCAAGCCACGTATCCAGTGAGGGGTGCAAAGGGATCAGGTGCTCCCCCCTTTCTCCTAAAATGGTGGTGCAATGTCGAATTTGCACCCATCCCCCCTTTTAAATAAATCTTTTCTTGAAAATTGTTATCATTTTGTATAGTGTATAGTGAGGTGGGGTGGATAGTGTGTGACAGCCGTTCTTGTCAGATCACTGAAGTTAAGCACACTTGTCCACAGCAAGTAACTGGATTGGTGTCCAGACTGGTGTTCACGGGTTCGATTCCCGTACTCCACACAAACCTGTGGTTTCAAAAACATCTGAAGCCGAGTTCTAGTTAAGCAGTTATGACCACCAGACGGATGTAGGAGGACAGACTGTCAACAACTCTCGCAGCGAAAGGGTTCGTGCTTTCTACTTACCAAGAAAGAAGTGGGATTGATCAAAGTGAATGATGATAAAGGGAGGAATGGTGGATAAGCAGGGAGAGTCTATGGTAGCCAGCTATAGGTACCTGGGGGTATCCAATCCGGGCTTACAGATGTTAGGGAGCAATGAGTGTGATGTTTCCTATAGTATGGCACCCGGGCCCCATTCTAGTATATCAGAAGGATTCCTGCACTCTATATTCTCAGGCTTAAGAAGAATCTTAGGCAGCTGGAATCTTGTCAACCCTCTTTTCAGTATGAATGAAGCGTGGATGGATGAATGTGCTGCCAGATAACAACCCCTGGAAGATCAATATAAAAACCAAAACAACACCAAACTTACGCAAAATTCCGAGATTTGATCGTAACAACCCGAATTTAACTAATAAAATAAAACTTTTTTAGAAAATATTTGTAATATTTTCTGATCGAAGTGTTTGTTGTTCTTTCGCATATGTTGATTAACATACATACATGATACAATGTAACATACATACATGATACAATGTAACAAATACATACATGATACAATGTAACAAATAAATAATTAAAATGTTCCAGCATAGTATCAAAAATTCCTTGAATTTTGCAGAAACTTAAATTGTCTCAGTTTCAACATTTTGTCCAGACAATTCAAAATCAGTGAACGTGAGTAATTATATGAAAATTATTTACATTTAGTGTTATCCAACATGAAAATTTTCTGCAAAACATCAAATTCATGGAAAATCAAATTTTCACTGGAAGGTCAAGCTAAACTTACTTATATTGTAGAAAAATTGAAAAATAACATTAAATTCACTAAAACTGAAATATTTTCTACGCAAGGGGGGCTGTGCCCCTTTGCAACCCTCCGCCTTGCTCACTACGTTTCACTCGGAGATTTTTTGTACCTAAAAAATCCAACCCCCCCCCCCTTTGGTTGAAATCCTGTGTCCCCCTGCTTGATAGAGTCAAATTATATAAATTTAATTGATATCTTCAATTGATCAAAAAATCCTGAAAACAAAAACAGATAAAAGTCATGCTTCATCAGATAGCTGCAAATATAGGCCAACACAGAAAAAAAATCTTAAAGGAATTGTAAGCGTAATTTTAAACGACCCTCCATGCAATCATGATGATGTCCGATTCACAACGGTACCGTTGGATCCTTTATCTGATTAAAAATATAGAAGATATTGTCGTTTATGTAAGTTTTAAAATGTTTAAGTTTTCAAGACTATAAACATTAATATATACACTTGTAACTACGCTAGCAGTCGACTTGATTTTTGTTTAACTCTGTTTTGTATTCTGCCCTTACTGAAATCATGATTGGCATTGTGGCGGTCTTTGGCAAAAATAGAAACAAAGAAAAAACTGGAGGGAATCAGGAATTTAAGAGTTGAGAAAATGAACTCAGTAAAGTCGTCTTTAAAGTTTCAAACTTTGTGTATAACCTTGTATTCCCTGTAGGTTTATGTATATTTAGGTAAAACAGGTTTTGTCAAATTTTATCCAAAAATAAATCATGTTGATCCTAATTATATATCATGGTTTTTATTTCGTTCTTTCCTCTATTTTTCTCTCTCTCTTTCTTTAGTTTAAATCGTCATACAAATCAAAATGTCGTCTTAAAACCGTAAATGTTCTTTGTTTTTCGTCGTTCGAAGCAAAAACTAAATTCTTAAGAGTCACATATATTCATGAACATACTTTTTGTACTAGTTCCTCTACGCAAGAACTTGAATTAATTTAAATAATTTCAAGTAGAAAATACTTTACAATTGTGAGAAAAACGAGTATTTCAATTTTTTTTATTTTGACCGGAATTAAATCATCGTTAATTACAAAATGTCAGGTTCAAAGAGATGCTTGCCCGATTGTAAACGGTACCTTTATCAGAATAGAATTAAGGGAAATATTCCAGTTTTTCATCTTATAACGAGTTGCAATATAGGACTCTAAAAATAACTCACTTTACTATTGGACTCCAATGATAACCGACTGTACTATAGGCTCCGACGATAACTGACTTTACTATTGGACTCCGATGATAACCGAAGTACTATAGGACCTCGATGATAACCGACTGTACAATAGGACTCCAATGATAACTGATTGTACTATAGGACTCCTACGAAAACTGACTCTACTATGGGACTTCTAGGATAACCAACTGGACTACAGAACTCTCACAATAACTGACTGCACCATAGGACTCCGATGATAACCAACTGCACTATAGAACTCCGAAGATAAACGACCGCACTATGAGACTCCGACGACAACCAACTGCACTTTAGGAATCCGATGATAACCGACTGAACTATAGGAATCCGATGATAACCGACTGCACTTTGAGACTCCGACGATAACTAACTGGATATGGGATTCTATGATAACCGACTGCACTATCGGAATCCGATGATAACCGACTGCACTATCGGAATCCAATGATAACCGACTGCACTATCGGAATCCAATGATAACCGACTGCACTATGCCCTTAAGAACTTCGATGATAACTAACTGGACTATGGGATTCTGATGATAACCGACTGCACTATCGGAATCCAATGATAACCGACTGCACTATCGGAATCCAATGATAACCGACTGCACTATGGGAATCCGATGATAACCAGCTGCCCTTAAGAACTTCGATGATAACTAACTGGACTATGGGATTCTGATGATAACCGCCTGCACTACAGGAATTCGATGATAACCAGCTGCCCTTTAGAACTTCGTTGATAACCAACTGAACTATGGGATTCCGATGATAACCAGCTGCCCTTTGGGACTTATATGATAACCAACTGCACTATGTGACTCTGATGATTACCGACTACACTACAGGAATCCGATGATAAACAGCTGCCCTTAAGGACTTTGATGATAATAAACTGGACTATGGGATCCTGATGATAACCGACTGCACTAAAGGAATTCAATGTTAACCAGCTGCCCTTTAGGACTTCGATGATATCCAACTGGACTATAGAGATTCTGATGATAACCGACTGCACTGCAGGAATTCAAGGATAACCAGCTGCACTTTAGGACTTCAATGATAATCAACCGGACTATGGGATTCTAATGATAACCGTCTGCACTACAGGAATTCAATGATAACCAGCTGCCCTTTAGGACTTCGATGATATCCAACTGGACTATGAGATTCTGATGATAACCGACTATACTACAAGACAACTAAAATAAAATGCCGTGTGCTGGAAATCCATAATTTAGTGACGTTCTAGAAAACTTGAAGATGAAAGAAACATAATTAGGTATTTACGTAAATTCATAAATACGTAAACATATTTAAAGATAAGAATAGCATTGTATCACATGAGCAGTTTGGTTATCACTCAGTAATAATCAATTTAATTATATTTTACAAAGAAAACTATTCAGTTTTAGTTCACTGTGATATTAAACTGAAAATGCGTTAAAGAACATGTTTAAAAAATCAATTATTTTTAATATTTTTTGGAGCCAGCTCTCATTGAGGTCGTATGTTTTCTGTAGTCAGGGATCAGGCCCGTCCTCTGAAAAGTATGATTTTTTTTCACTTTTTAAAATCCGATATATTTTAAAGTAGATCCCATTCCTTCTGTTAATCCCATTAGTTCTTTTATTAATCTTAATTTTTCTACAGTTATAATCCCATTCATATCGCAGTTAATCCTAGTTAGTTCATCCCTTTCATAGTTAATCCATAATACAGTATTCGAAATTTTATACATTTTAAAGAAAACCCCTCTAAACTGTAAGGTTATATAGTTACTCTTGCTTAATCTGCAGTTATTCTGCAGTTAATCTGCAGTTATTCTGCAGTTAATCCCTTTGATAGTTAATCCATAATACAGTATTCGAAATTTTATACATTTTAAAGAAAANGTCAATTTAACCCCCCTGTAGTTTTTTTTTACATAGCTCAAAAAGTATTGGTCTGTTGAAATGTTGAAATTTTCTTATTTTTCCTAAATTCACATAGGTCTAAAACTGGGCTTTTATACTAACTGCCTAAATGACTAATTTTTATAATATATAATATAATATATGTTTTGACCCACTTTCAGATCTCAGATTTTGATAATTTTTAGTTTTTTGGAAAGCCTATGACACAAGGAAACGGATTTTACAAGTTTTGCAAAGGGATTTTTGGTAATTTTTTGCATACAACATGTCAAAAGAAATTTGCACATATTTAGTTTTTCTTAATTACACATCAGGTTATTAAAAATTTTGCAAATTTTTTTGCATATTTAAAATGGCATGGTCAAGGGGTTTTCAAAAATTTATATTTTATCTTTTTTCGATTTTGGCAATTTTTTTGCGGATTCTAAAAGTAGAGCATGAGAGCTTTCCAATGATGTATCATTTGTCATATTGTGGACATTAAACATGAAATTTAGAGGAGGGGGGTCAAATTGCCCCCCCCCCCTCTGCAGCGTATCTTGGTTTTTATGTGCCCCAGCAGGGAGAGGGTTAAGCTGAATTTTGATAACAGTGGATTAATTTAAAAATCCAAACATTTATGCAAATTGAAGATTTCAACTAAACGATAACCAATAAAAAAACCTGTAAAGTGCGTCTAAATGATTGTTGAAGCTTTGTAATTGTAACAACAAAAATTACAGAAGTTAGCAAATTCTTTGTATTAAGGTCAGTGTGCGTTGAATTCTGGATTGAGAATCCTGCGTCTATAAACTGTTCAAGTTTAGAGCTCCCAGATATACTCTGTGAGAAGGATACAAGGTGGAGACTGGAGAAGATTAAACATGAAACCAAGACAAAGGGACTGTTCCACGTTTTCAAGAGCCTGGGGTCGAACAATAATATGGTTTCTGCAACATTCCGGCTTCAACAATCTAAGAGGAACTTTACTTTATACAACATGGCAACCAACCTTTGGTTTCTAGGTACCTGTTTCTAGGTACCTGTTTCTAGGTACCTGTTCTAGGTACCTGTTCTAGGTACCTGTTCTAGGTACCTGTTTTTTGTTGTAAAATTTTCAAAGGTCAAGTAGCGTCTAAACAAAGGATTCATACCTCTTAGCTGGAATTCTAAACAATAAATCTGCTTTTTTTCCGGTAAAATCATCATTAAAAAAACTAATACTAAGGAATTGCTAATAGGCAACTTAATTTACCATGAAATTACGAATAATTGAACAGTCCCTTTAAATCTATAATCACATCCGTCAACTGATAATTTCTCGGGCTTTTTTCAGAAACAATCACAATAGGAATTCGAATATGTGTATTTACTTTTTTAAATATATCTTTAAATAAAAAACATTTTTTTTAATCAAATGTTATTTCAACATTTTTTGTAGTTGATGAATCAACAGGAGAGGAAACCTCTTTGCAAGGAAAGGTAAATTATAGTTCTTGTTTTGAAGTCAACGTTAAATCATTTATTTTACAAAATAGCAGGCAGGCAGTTTTGTGGATAAAAAACTAATACTAAAGAACCCCAATAAGAACTTTTTTGAAATGTGAACGTAATTAATAAATAGTTTCACAATTATTTTAATCTTGTCAGTAAATCATTTAGAATAAAATCTTTTAGTTTGTTGAGAAGCTTGGACGATTTCTGTATTTTGAGGAGCATGTTAAAGATGAGTTTGATCTGAATTTATCACTAGGAACAGTTTCTGGTTGATTTAATATTTATCTGCAGTAATATAGATTATTTATCCCACGCGGCAAAAACATTTTTGTCTTGATAAAATGCATTAAATAATCACTAGTAATGTCTATATATTTTCTTCAGATTTCCTAAATAAGCTGCTTTTAACCCTATTCCTGCTGAGGGGGGGGGTCAATTTGACTCCCCCCTGTAGTTTATTTTACATAACTCAAAAAGTATTGGTCTGAGGCTGTTGAAATTTTCTGACTTTTCTTAAATACCAAAAGCCCTCCCTTTAGGTCTAAAGCCGGGCTTTTATACTAACTGCATGACTGCCGTTTCCTATAACAAACTAAATCTTTGTTTTGACCCATTGTCAGTGGTCAGATTTTGAAAACTTTTAACTTTTTGGAAAGCCTATGACATAAGGAAACGGATTGCACAAGTTTTGCAAAAAGAATTTAGCAAATTATTTGCAAACAAGCCGTCAAAGGAAATTTGCACATTTTTAGTTTTATTAATTACACATCAAGAAATTTTAAATTTTGCAAAACTTTTTTATATTTGAAATGGCATGGTCAAGGGATTTTTCAAAAATGTATAATTTATCATTTTTTGGATAATTTTTTTTTCAAACATTTTTACTATATAACTGGATTTTGCAAAAAAACTATAATTTTTGCTAATTTGCTATTTTTTTGCAGACTCTAAAAGCAGAGCACAAGAACTTTCCAATGATGTATTATTTGTCATATTTGAACATCAAACATGGGATTTAGAGGGGGGGGGGGGTCAAATTGACCCCCCCCCCAGTGTATCTTGGTTTTCAAGTACCCCAGCAGGGATAGGGTTAAGCCAAATAGAACCAATACACTTGTGTTTTTAGCATTTGCAAATATATAAACGATTGCATTTTATACTTTTTGACTTTCTGTTTGACTTTCAAAAATTTGACCTGAAAACACTGTACAGAGTTGACCTGCATGAGAAGTTTTAACACTGATGATAACTGGGATGATGATGGTAGCATTTTTTCTTCAACTAGGTTTTAAGCTCCCCGTTTTCTCTATACTTTCAGTTTTAAAATGTTGTTTTTTAAGACACCACTTTTCTCTGCACATTATAAAATTTAAACTTTCGTCGTTTTTTTTTTGCATATTGATTTGTTTATAAACTTTCTCATTGTAAATTCAATTCCAACCGGCCCCTAAACAGTCTTTGAGGTCACGATATACCACACCAAAGTTGGACAAGATCGGTTCGCCTGATTTTCAAATATTTCCAGGTTACTCTAGATATAATCCTGATTTTCTAATATTTCCAGGTTACTCTAGTTATGATCCTGATTTTTTAATATTTCCAGGTTACTCTAGAGGTAATCCTGATTTTCTAATATTTCCAGGTTACTCTAGATATAATCCTAATTTTCTAATATTTCCAGGTTACTCTAGTTATGATCCTGATTTTCTAATATTTCCAGGTTACTCTAGATATAATCCTGATTTTCTAATATTTCCAGGTTACTCGTGAGATAATCCTGATTTTCTAATATTTCCAGGTTACTCTAGAGATAATCCTGATTTTATAATATTTCCAGGTTACTCTAGATATAATCCTGATTTTCTAATATTTCTAGGTTACTCTAGATATAATCCTGATTTTCTAATATATGGACTTCCAAGCCTTGCTCTCACTATATGGGTTGTATTTTGCATCAAGCTCAGGTAAAGGAATTGAGTTTTTGCCACAAATCCCAATTTTCTAATACCTATATCTCTAAAACCAGATGGCGTAAACCTTTGATATTTCAAACTTTGATTATTTGATCCATCAGAATTCATAGTTTGTGTTGTAGAGATAAAGGGATTACAAAATCAGAGTTTGTGGCAATAAATTAATTTCTTTTGAAAAAAAAGTTAAAAAAACTCTAGCATACCTGGTTTTGAAATGATACCCCTATGCATATATTGTGTACTTGTAAATTTTTCTGGTAGTCAATTTTATAGCAGGGAAAAATATATTTCACTAAAAACAATCCACAATTTTTTTCTTTAAATTAAATAAATCAATTTGGAATATTCGATCACGATTTTATTTTAAGGATAAAAGTTGTTTCAAGTATTTTTTTGACATTTTCTTTAATTGATTTTTGTTAATTTAATTCGAATAATATTCATCTATTTGTCTGATTTAGGAGATGTCTCTGCTGCTGGAGGAAAATCATTTTTACATAGCGATTTGTCAAAGGAATTCGTCCAAGCAATTCGTCATAGCGATTTGTAATTGCAATTTGTTATAGCGATTCGTCATAGCCATTTCAGAGGGAATTAGTTCTGAGTAATTTTAGGGAAATTAGTTCGTGTTAATTTTTGGAGGAATATAGTTGTAGAGTTTTATATGGAAAATTAGTCCGGAGCAATATCAGACAAAAATAATTCATAGCGCTTTTAAAGGAATTACAAAGTTTGTACGATTTTAGGAAAATTTGCTTGCAGCAATTTCAATTGGGAGAATTAATTGCAATCAACTTTAGAGCAACATGTTTCAAGTTCATGGGGAATTAGATTAAAACTATTCGGTCCGTCCTAGAGAACGATTTTTGGACCCCCCTCCCCTCCTATCAATTTTGTACATGACCACTTTTTTAACAATTTTCAATTAAATTAGAATTTATTTAGGGTTAGGTTAGGTTAAGACACTTTCTGGGCCGAGCGCTGCGGCCACGGGTTAGGTTAAGTTAATGCACTTTCTGTAAGATCCATGTACAAAATTGATAGGAGGGGGGGGGGCCTAGGGGAGGTCAATAATCGTTCTCTAGGAAATTATCAAACTATTTAAAGGTAGTGACCGGAAATGTATGGTGGTTGAACTGAATATGTAGCATTCATTTAAGTCATATAAATACTAAGTTTGAAAAAATGACGTTCAACATCATTTTCAGAATCGTTTTTTTTTATTATTAAATAACGACGACGAAAAATAAAGTAAATTTTATACAGTAAACTAATTAGATGTTTAGGAACATATTTCTCAAAAGAAATTTGTTAATAAATCACTGTCAAAATCAATTATTTCGTTTTTATTATTATATTGAATTTCTTATTTTCTATGAATTTGTTCGCAAATTTCTACAAATTCTTCAAATGTCGTCTTTTCAATAAAAATTCCAGAAAATCTGCAGAAAACTTTTGTGAATAAAGAGAGAAACTAATAATTGACGAGATTGCGCTCAAACTCAATAAATATATGTCGTAAAAACGCTGTTTATATACGTCGTTTAATATGTCTTAAATGAATCCCCAAAAATTTTGTTCACAATAATACATATTCAGTTCAACTACTTTACATTGCCGGTCACTCCCTTTAAGGGTGAATTAGTTTTTAGCCATTTGTTGGAAGCAATTTCAGGTCGAATTATTTCGGTGGAATTTATGGGGGAATTGGTTGGAGTAGTTTGGGGGGAGTTAATTTGCAATTAGTTGGAACTAAAGTCATTTTTTAATTCGTATTTTTTAATTTTTCTTTTAAAAATGATTATGATTAGTTGTGAAGAGAAATCTGAAGGAACGTCTATGTAAGTATATTTACTACGAAATTTTTACTGACAGATATATATTTATAATATATCATATATATAATATAATATAATATGATATGATATAATATAATATAATAAAAAATATGTAGCATAAAAGAAATTTGTCATTTGATATGAAGCTCTTGATCTCCTTTTTTTTATTCTGAAAATTAATTTAAACTTTATTTGATATCCAAGAAAGAAATATAAGATTCAAGCAATTAGAGTGTCTTGTGGCAGAAACCGAACAACCAATTAGAAGCCGGGAAATTTTGCGCGCAACCATTAAGAGAACTCTTACTAGTCGGATCCCAGCAGGAATATCTAAAAAAAGGATTAAGCAGAAAATTAAAAGTGTCCACAATGTAATTCAAGATTAAGCAAATGGATTAAGGGTATCCAGCAGAATAGCGTCCAGAGCTGAAAATATTAGAAAGAGATATCCTTAATCCTTATCACTTAATCTGAGTATCCATGAATGTACACACTTTTGGTTTTATTCTTAATCCTCTTTTTTGGATATCCCTACTGTTTAAAAGTTACGTTTGATAACAATTATAGATACAATGCTATATCGATTGAACTAATATCCGATTGAAATAAAGTCAGCTGTTCACAAGCCAGACTTTAGAGCATTTAAGCAAATATAAATTTAATCATGTTAATATTAACTTATTAAAAAAATATATTTAATCACATTTTAGGACCAATCATGTTTAAACGTTAGTCTAAACAAGCATTTATCGAAAACTTGCATTTATTAAATCGATGTTTAGGTCAATTGATATGACACAATTAACACAAGAAAAAACCAATTTTCAAGAGTTAAAGAGTACATATTAACATGATAGGCTGATTGGTTGAATTTTATACTTCTTTCTTGGATTTCGAATGCGTATTAAAATAATAATATCCATCATTCTAAAGTTTTTAGCTCAGCCTAGATAACTTTTAAAAACACCAGCCCATAATCTCAAAATCTAGAATATGTCCAATTTGCAACATTAACCATAAACCTTCAATAATGTGGAAAATGTTGTTATTTTTATCGATTAAAAAGTATCGGACATGACCCTTTATAAATGGATTGTCACTTGAAATTAAGTTCGCATGCAGTCCCTTTAAAATCCAGTTTTTGAAGCAGCGAGAGAGAGAGAGTTTTGTTTCTTGTGTAAGAACAAAACAAGAATGATTATTATAACAGACCCCTCCAAAATTTTGTTTCAAATCGTTTATAAAAATCGTTTTAGTTAATGATAAATTAAAAAAAATGTATTATTATTTAGAACTGGAACAAATCAAAGATCAACATCAGATGTCGCACAAAGAACTCCGTCTGACCGGCCTTCTCCTCTACCTGAGTTTTCATCCCTTAATCAATATAATTTTCCATCCTCTGATTACAGTCAAACTAGTCCTCCGCCCTCATACTCGTCTTTACAGCACTCTTATTCGCCCACAGGAGCAAACTACTCTAGTCCACCACCATATTCAACACCAAACTATACTAGTTCTCCACCAGACTACACAACATCACTTAACAACCAACAACAGCCTTTACAACTATCCAGTATTGCGGCTTCCATTCCAAATTAAGGAAATAAAAAGATTTCCAAAATTGTAAGAAAGCTTTTAATTCACTCTGTATTTTATCAAGGTTAACATCGTACAATCAGGGAGGGAGGAGAGCAGAGGAGGTTGAATTTATAGGACAGTTTAGGTCACAGATTATAATCTTAACTATAATTTTTTAATTATTGATCAAATAAAAAAGTGTATTTCAGAATAAATACTTTTGACATTTAACACAAGAACCTTATCTTTATAAAATATAGAATAGAAAACTATAATCATTAATAAAAAGAATGTGCTGTTATCTCTGAGATACGGCATGAACCACCCACATACAGGGTTCCTCACAAAGAATGAGACTGCAAAGACGACCGGAAACTCCTAAAATATGACGATTTCAAGTTTAAATTGTCTGCCATAAATATAGTATTTTAATTGGTTATTTGATGATTTGGCGAAGAAAGAAACATGTAAAGTAACAAAAAGAATAAATTCACTACGGTCTTTTATAAAGTCTGATACTTTGTGGGTAACCCTGTATCTATGTTTACATAGAAAGTGTACTGAATTTTCTGGGAGAAACGTAAACAAACTCAGCCACCAGCTTAGGCCGAGGAGCGGGGGAAGGCAGGCGGCCATGAGCCACCACTATTTCCTCTTCCGTACCACATATTAGTAGTTAAAACATTTTCATTTTTGGAGGTCATTTAGGTCGTTAGAGGTCGTAAGAGGTCATTAGAAGGTCAAACACTGGATTTGTTGCTGCTACTGTATTCATGGGTTCCTAGCTTTCATTTGATATGCATAAAAGCCATAGTTGAAATATTTACTTTTTGTGGAGGTCATTAGAGGTCATTAGAGGTCATTTGATAACATTAAAATTCAATTTGATTTTGTTTTAGAAATTTCGATAACTAATTAGGCGTGTAGCCAAAAAATTGGAAGATTTGAACCAAAAATGAAGGCAGGCCCCCCCCCCCCCTACATCAAATGTGCCATCTCCACCATCCCCTTTGACTGAGTATTGCATCTTAAACTATGACAAATATCACAATATTATTCAATTACTGTATCATTATACTAAATTCATCTTAATATCACTCGTTAACCAACTCCCCCATCATCCAATCATCTCATAACTCATTCACTCACCTCATCCAATCACTCATTCAGTCTTTTCATCACTCCCTCACCTCATCATACACACTTAACACAAATCTACTCTCTTACACACTCACACACTCACTCACATTACAATTCAATTGAAATTTTGTTCCTCATAACTTTTTTATAGAAAACCAAATTTGATAGGTTTAAATATATTGTAAGGTTCAGACATTCAGAGACTACTGCAGAGAAGTTATATTTATTATTCTTTGCAATAGTAAACATCTTTCTTTCTTTGCCTTAATAGATATATAATTGCTATTAAAAGATTGTATTCAAGGTAGAAGATTTAATTTAACCTTGGAATCGTGATTTAGAGTTTCATGTCGTCTTGACAGCCGAATCCTTTGTGGGTAACCCTGTATGTGAGAAACATAATAGAAACAACGTAAAAATCACTCATTAAGCAACTCATCTCATCTCTCAACCTCATCAACCAGTCTCTCTAAAATAGCCATCACATTTAAAAGACGACATTTAAAGAAGTTTTTTGAAATTGTAAAAAAGAGGTAGTTTAATTTAGATTTTAGCAAGTAAACTAAGTCAATTTTCGTATTGTGGGAGCTGAGACAATTTGTTCAGGTTAGTCTGAAGAATGAGAAAATATTATAAAAATCACAATATTCACTGTCATTACTTAAACGTTACAGATTTTGTAAAAAAACGGGTTTTTTTGCAATTTTTTCTTAACACATTGCACATATTCACACAAGGGTTCCCTTCAAAACTGATGTTTATTTTATGGTGCGTAATTTTTAATATTCATATTGCTTTTAAAAATAAGCCATTTTTGTGAAAATCAGAATTTAGATTTGCAAAAAAAAAGTTTTACAGTTTACATTAAGAGAAATCATCCTTATTACATATTAACACTGAAATATTGAGATCTAAATATATATGTATTGCGTGACGCGGCTGGATTTTTTAAAATCACACTTTAAAGGCCCTAAATATACCATTTAAAAAAGTAGTTTTGCCCGGAAGAGTCAAATGTCGTGGTACGGAAGGGGAAATAGTGGTGGCTCATGGCTGCCTGCCTTCCCCCCGCTCGGCCGAGTTGTGTTACATTCCTGCTAGTCAAAACTGCAGTACATTTCTTTAGTAATCATATGAGTGGGGTCACAACATGGTCACAACTATTTTTCAAAGAAAAATATTATTAATCTTTCCTCAAAAAGGGCGTATTTTTAAATCATTGTGTAATTATAAATATTGCACCATAAAGTTCTATTTAATTGCATAAAATACTAGTTTTTTCAGGTACTATGTGCATATTTTGGCTTTAAAGCTTTATGATAATCCGATATGGTATGGGACGCTCTGTTAAGAAGGCTGTAAAGTTGTGGCTCAAGGGTCATGCCTTACAGAAGACAAAAAAGCTAATAGAAATAGAAAAGTTGTGCAGCTATAGCTTATGGCCTGCCTTACCCGCGGTTCCGCATATCTTACATATGGTCAGCTGTGAGGTTTTCTAAATTATTTAAGAACATTAATGCTTGAATTGTGTACATTAATTATTCTCGTTGCAGATTACGTACAAGTATAGAGGTATTCTAATCTAAAGTGAAGAACACGATAAACCCACGGGCGTAATAATATCCCCCCGTATACGGGGTTATAGTATACTAAACCTTTACATACAGTATACACCTCATGTTTTCCACATTCAGAACCTTTTTAGGACAACTAGGGACCTTAGGCTTATATATATAGAACTAGACAGAGATACAGGTCTGGGTCTTATTATCTTAAAATCTGGAATAATTATGTTTTTTTTTGCAAAATCTAGGGTTAGTAAATATATCTATGCAAAATCTTGTGATTTGCAAGATCTTGTATTATTATCTTCGATATTATTATTATTTTATTATTATTATTCTAATTATTATTATTATTTTTGTTTTTATGTGAAATGTACTTTCATTATAATGGAACTTTTATTTTTATTGTTTTGAGAAATTTAAGATGTGAATGTTGAATTGTCATCTTTATTCATTACAAACATGACGTCCAACGAAACATGTCAGTTGGTAAATAGTTCTGAATGTGTTCTTCCATTTACTGTATTAGATATTGAGGACTTTTTGTTCAGTTTATTTAGTTAAAAAGTCTTTTACTGAAATATATTTTACTTTGAAATCAATTTTACTATAACACGACTGTCAAATACTACTTTTTATTAGTCTCTTTAGTATCAAACAACTTAAAAATCATGGAAGAAGACATTTCACACTATTCACCAACTGTCATGTTTCGTGGGACACCCTGTATCACCGTGGTACTTGAAGACCAGTTAGCTGGTAATATATTAACAAATGAAGTGTTTTCTGATATTTGTAAGTAAATGATCAGAGATGCAGAAACTCTTGTATTGTAAATATCGAGGTCAATACTTGATCACCGCTTTTTGTTAATCTGCAGATTAATTTAACCCATATTTGTCGCACTGGAAAGTGTTTTTAATTCAACCAATCATATTGAATATGTTTGCAGAAACCGAGCATCCAGGACAGGAAAATTTCGCGCGTGAGGAATGAGAGAACTCTTATTGGTTGGAAGGGAACCCAGTGCAGCCTGCAGGAATCTCCACAGTGGATATCGAGATTAGGAAAACGGGATTGGGAATCTATCACAAGAGTTTCCAGCTCTGTGCACTTTCACCATACCCTAAACAAATTGATGCCAGACATACAATTCAAATTCTGCGACATTAAGTAGCCAAAGTCTTAAAACAAAGGTTATAAGAAAAAGGGGCAAAAACATTAAAACATTCCTGTGTAGGAAAAAAGTCCTTAAAACCAAAAGTATCTAGAAATAAAGTACTATCATTATGTGACTTTATTTTCCAGGACTTTAAAACACAGGATTTTATTTTCAGTTATATGTTTCTTGGGAATTAACTTTTGTTTTCCAGGTTTCTTTTTCAAAAACTTTTTTCCTCGTAACTTTCTTACAGAGTTTACGATTCACGAAAAAAGGAGAAAAAAAGAAAGTTTTATTTACAAGACTACATGGTCTCCAACATCTAAGAGTTTCCACGTCCAAGAATTAGGGTTTGCACATTTAAGAATTAGGATAAATCCAAAATAAAAAAAATGGTGGAGTTCACATTTAAGATTTGGGGTGTTTACGTTTAAGAACTGGGGTCTACTTTAAACAAAATGCAATTACATTCTCATCTTTTATTCCTCGGACTGACGGAGTATCCAATGTGCGTATACGATGTTGCATTTTTTCGTTTTATTGGAAGTGTTTTTCTTTGGAAAACTACATAATGGATGCACTGCATGGGCAAGGTTTATAACTTTGTGAGCTTTCAATATAAAAAGGGCTCTCCAATAATACTTAGATGATGACGATAGATTTAAACTAAAATATCCAATTTTAATTAATTAAAAATCTAACCGGATTTTGCCAAATATGCAATATAAAAGGAAGCATAAAAGAAGCGATTTGTAGTTTTGAAATCTCCATATCTAGGGCCACAAAATAAAATAAAGGGTTCAGTAAGTGCAACAATCTTTAAATGTTGATACATCACTTTTAGAACTGTGGAGATTTACATGCTTATTGTTTGTCTTGAAATTCCAGGAAGAAGGGGCGACACCCATAGCCCCCCCCCTCCCTGAATACGCCCCTAGATAAAATAAATGGTAAAGCTTGGTAAACCACACTAGTTTACTACTGAAACACACCCAGATCATTCTCCATCTTGAAACCACATCGGCTTACCGCATCATACACTAATACTATACAGTATACACATACTTCTATCATCATACACTATACAGTATACACATACTTCTATCATCATACACTATTGTGAACCATACCCCATAATCTACTCTGTTGTAAGGTCGTCTTTGACAAATTGTACCTCCGCTGGACGGAGGGTCCACTTTCCAAACCAAACATTTTCAAGGTCTCCCCGTAAAAGCAAACAAAAGCCTCATGCAGTTAATAAAACTTAAAGTTCATTGAAAAAAAAATTTTAAACATAATACAAGTGAATCATTTGCAAACAGTGAAATTCCTTTAACCAAATGAATATTTATTTTCAGAAGATT